ATATATAGGATAAGCTTCCTGCTGCTGATAAGTAGCAGGAAGCTTATCCTGCAGTGTGAGCGGCACAGAGGTGCAGGCGGAAGCTTTTTCTGCAGCAGGTGCTAACTAATTTAAAATAATTTATTTTTAATAAAAATTCCATGCTGATCGTGCGTCTCATCCATTAATCAGCCAATTGTGTGTCATGTCCTATCTTATATTGAAAAACCACGATAGAGCGAATCCGCAATAAACAAACCACAAAGTAGCGAGGGACTACTGTCCTCTGGTTTCCTCCCACAGACCAAAAACATGTATGTTAGGCTGATTGGTAACTCTAAATTGTCCCTAGGTGTGAATGAGAGTGAATGTTTGTTTGTCTTGTTTGTCTCTATGTGGCCCTGTGATGGACTTGTGACTAGTCCAGGGTGTACACCACCTCTCACACAGTGTGAGATGGGTATGGGCACCAGTGACCCCCCAAGACCCAAAAAGGAAGAAGCGGGTAACGATAATGGATGGATGTTATGAATCACTCTGCTGCTGGAAGAGTGACACAAGCTCTCAATCCTCAGTATAATTTGCTCACCAATTTAATTCAAATTGAAAAATACTTTATTAATCCCAAAGGGGAATTAAATTAATTATTAATTAATTAAATTTAATCACTAGGTATAACTAATTCCTCTAGAGCCATAAAGATGGTAAGCGCCTCCTAGCCTAATCCCAAAAGTGATTCACTAAATTGAATGTTGGTTACACATCATAACTTATCCTATAGTCACAGCTCTTTGGCTGAAGGCCTCACTGGTTCAACCAGGGATGTCTAACAAAATATATGTATTTTCTTTTTGCAGCTGGATTCAAGTCATTCACAGCTGTATGACCACCAACGTATGTGTGGAAGAACAGGACAGGAAAAAAAAAATATTCCGAATAGAGCATTAGAAGGGACTTAAGGGGTTTGCATCTGCTCATGAAATGTGTGGTCACAATCCAGCTTTTTTACTGTCAGCGTTGATGTGAGCTTGACAAACCTGCAAATATTTTTTTCCACTTAGTCCAATCTGCCAATGACCATAAAGAAAAAAAAACCATCACTCTGTGGCTATTTCATCAGATTATTGTTTTATTATTATTTTTTCCTTCTAATGAAATTCCCATTTTTTAAAGGGATCATGGTTATAGGAAAATAAACCAACAGCAAACAAAAATAACTAAGAGGTAAACCTTTTCTATACAACAAACAAAGGTATGTTTTTTAGTTTATGCTAAGTCTTTAGATAAGTCACTCTTAATTTAAACAAAATATTATATCCGTATCTTCAATAATATTAGAAATTTAACCAAAGTTTCAAAATTTCCAATCTGCACTTTATTTTGAGGATACAAAACCTTTTCTATTTAATTTCTCTTTAACAGTTTCCAATTGGTTTGACACTGTGAAAATATTTATTGTTTATGTCAGATATTATAGAATATACTTTTTTAATATAAAAAAGCGATCAGTAAATTGAGACTTGTCAGTATTAAAACAAAGTATGTTTCTTTCGGCTGTTCCTTTCTTCAGGGGCGACTGCAGCGAGAAAATTCCCATGAGAGATTTGACAATTGTTTTATGCCAGATGCCCTTCCTGACAAAATCTGGGCTTGAACGCAGAACCTCAAGATTATAAAACCAGGACACTGACCAGCAAGCTACCACAGCCCCATTGTCAGTATCAACAAGTAAACAACCAAATAGTTTGAGTAAGAGGTTCTATATGGATGTATGAGCAATGAGCCCTTTATGCTGCTCTTATATTGACATATGCCTGTGCCAGTGCTCATATGCAGGTGTGGTAGTGAGCATTTTCAGAATGACTAGACGAATGGGTAATTATTTTACTAAATATGGCAGCCACAACGAATCATCTTCCCCCATCTCATGCTGTCTTCTACATCCTCTGTCCTCGCTCCACCTCCATGTCCTCTCTAACTACATCCATCTATCTCACGGCCCTCAGCTTTTTCAGTCGTGGGCCATAAACTTTGGAGCAATCTGCACCCCAACATTAGACAGGCTACTTCACACACATGTTTTCTCTGGGTTTTAACACAATGTGATTTGATTTAGTATTTTATTGTTCTGCAATTTTATGTTCTTTTGATGTTTTTAGTTAATTTTTGGTATTTTGTGCATTCAATTACTGCCATTGATTTTTATTGTTAAGCACGTTAGGTAACAGCTGCTGTTTTTAAACGTGCTTTATTAATAAATTTGACTTTGTCTTCCTCTTTGTCCTTTTCAAAACAAAGATTATCCATCAATCCATTATCTTTTCCCACTTCTTCCTTTTTGGTCGTGGGAGTCACTGGTGCCCATGTCCAGCTATCACTGTGCCAGAGGTGGGGTACACCCTGGACAGGTCTCCAGTCCATCACAGGGACACATAAAGACAAACGGACAAACAACCGTTCACTCTCTCACTCACACCTAGGGACAATTTAGAGTTACCAATCAGCCTAACATGCATGTTTTTGGTCTGTGGGAGGAAACTGGAGTACCTGAGGAAAACCCATGTATGCACGAAGAGAACATGCAAAATCCACCCAGAAAAGCCCCCGGGCAGGATCTGAACCAGGGTAACCTGCTCGCTGAGAGTTTGGTCAAACATTAAGAGCAAATAACCAATTGAATAATATGTAGGGGAAACTCTTGAGAGGTCTGAGCACCTTTTAACAGGTGTTTCGCTAACGTTCAGAGTTACGTAATAAATTTTGATCGACCTCAATCGAAGGCATAATGTGAGTCCTTGTAACAATTATAATCCCCCTCATTTGAAGAAAAGACACAGAATCTGGTAATTTAAATACACAATTTTGTAACGTTTCTTTTCAGTTTGTGAATAATGACAATATGTACTTATAGCAAATATGAAATATGGATGAATAACCAATAGTATTATTTCAGAAAGTGAATGATGTAAATAACTTAAAGACTTTGAGAAGAGACATATTCAATTTTGGACCAAAATCTCTCTTTACATTCAAACTCTCAATGTTTGACCGAACATTACATTCAAACATTGAGAGTACATTTAGGTCTCTCATGTAAATGAGTCCTCGAGGCTCAATGGAACTAACCAACTGAGCCATCGTGCCACTCAACACAAAGACTATTTGATCTTAATTTAAGATTTTGTTTGCAGCTGTTAAGAGAGATCCCTTTTAGACTTATCAGTTATAATAAAGCAGATGTCATTTAAGATGTGATGCTGTGGATTCAAAATGAGAAAATATCTTATTACTATCAAAATGTATTGCAATAAAACATAAAAATTTGAGCTACAAAGGTGAGACTTGTATTACAACATGACTCATTGGGCTGTAATGTAAAATAGAGAGTTAACACTATGGTGAACACTTTAGGGGTTTTATTATTGAATCAGTAATTTTAATGAAAGTAAACATGTACAAAACTTACACAACCAAGCATAAGGTAAGCTGCAGTACCAGTGGTGATCAAGTTACACCAGGTGCCCCATATCCACACCTTACAGGTGCAGTGAGTTAACACACTCAAGCTGATCCAATACTAGCCACTGAATATATCCAAAGTTGAAGAATATCCAAATTTACAGTGAAGAACACTTTTTTGATTACAGTATATAATGTTATTTACCGAGGGTTACAAGGATCCTTAGACATGGAGGGCAGGTTCAACATTGTACATCCCAGCCAGTGACATCTGAATCAGGAAGAGAGCTTCAAATCATTTATCAGTTAACACAACAGAACTATTGGTGTTGGCTCTGCATGGCATATAGGAGAATGAAATAAGAAACATTGCATCCTACAGTACTTCTGCACTCAGTTGAATTGCAACCAATCTTCAATGCGAACATTGACATGTCATTGACATTGACATTGAACACTGTCAGTGAAATATTTATTGCAGTATAAGATAGAAGTTAAATGCACACAAATACAACTCCTTTGGGTTCCAGCACATGTTCATATGGAGAAATGAAATGGCAAAAACCCTGGCAAAACAAGGAATCAACAGAAAGTCCATAGAACTACAAGTTCCAGCAAATCTGAAATTAAACCATCAGGAAATACGTATAAGGGAACAGTATGTCAGGAACACTGGGATTTACAGGAAACTGGAATATGTTCATACAACATACAAAAACATGTTGGGTTAGGAAGGAAAACAATATGGAATAGCAAATAATAAAATGCCACCACAGGCAGCGTAGTGACACAGCTGATAGAACTGCTGCCTCTCAACGAGCAGGTTACCCTGGTTCAAATGATAGATAGATAGAAGATTCATTCAACCTTTATTTAGACAGGTAAATCCCACTGAACATCGAGGACTCATTTACAAGAGAGACCTAATGGATGGATTGATGAAAATAACATCACTCAACTCAGAATAGGACAATCAAGTCTCAGCCACACTATATAAAATATTCAAGATTCCAACAGGAAAATGCAACGTAACAAACAAAAACCATGGAACAAGTACTGCTACACTGCAACAAATACAGTATCCAAAGAGATCATCTATGTCAATTATTAAGAAAGGAAACACATCAGGACTTCACACTAACTGGGCTCTTAGAAGATAAATCAGCTAACAGTAAAATTATTTTGTTTTTAAAGGCAATTATAAATTTAGTCCAATTTAGAGGTTTTTTTTTGTTTGTTTCTTCCTTAAAAAAACTTGTCCAGATGACACGATTTAACCTTTTTTGTGGTTCCCTGCCTACTGTATTCTCCAGATCCACATTTCAGTCCAGTTGGTGGCAGTAATGCATTTGAAATGAGTTTGCCAACCGCCAATAAAAATCAAAAGAAGAAAAAGTTGAATAAAAATCAGAAGACGAATGCTTCCAGCTGTGGAGTCATCACTGGTTTTCTAAGGTAGGTAAAACTTTTCATCGAAACTATGCATTTGGTACTTTTACAAGACACTTAAGCTGTTTTTCCTTTGTTTGCAGTTAACTTAACAGTTTTCTGCAAAAATGATCAACCAGGTAAAATACTCTTTTAGTGTCTAAATAATGTGAACATATGTTAATGCAAGGCTGCACAACTTTAACCTATTGAAATGCATCTGACTTTATTGTTACAGATTAGTTTTGGCATTGCAGTGGTCCTTCTTGGTATGATTTTAAAAGTATCTTCAGTTTTTTTAGCAATTTTTTACACCCTAGAAAATCACTTGACTAGCTTTTTGTTTACTGTTCATGTCTACTAGGATATGTGGGAGCCTCCACATATGAAGGTAAGATGTTTAACTTACAAAAATTCTTTAAGAGAATTATCTAGTACTTGTTAAATGTATAACTGTATAATTAAAAAAAAAAAAAATAATTCTTTTTTTTCTCCCCCTTCTCCCCTCCAACGTGTTTTGCTTCCATCGTTTTTGTCTCAGGTGTTCCAGGTTGCTGGACTAACTGGTATAATCGAGACACCCCTAAAGGAGCTGGTGACTTTGAGACTTTGAGTGAACTAAGGAAAATGTACCCAGCAGAAATTTGTATCCACCCCCTCAGAATTGAGGCTGTCACTACTACAGGGATCCCAGCTGAGAAAACTGGGCAAAAACTGTCTGTGTGAGTATTTGTGAAGTGGTGGACAAAAACAATATCGTTTGAGCTGTCTTATTTGGTATTTAAGTGAAACTCATAAACTATAGTGTTTCAAGTGCCATTTTTTTTTTTTTTTTTTTTTTTTTTTTTTTAAATATCTTTTCAGATACTCTGTGAAAGAAGGCTTGATTTGCCTCAATCAGAACCAGAAATCTGGCACCTGCTTGGACTATAAAATTCGCTTTGAGTGTATATGTCATCTACATTGTCTTGATGCCTGCTAATGACCTGATAACTGGATGCGTGGATGTTGTTGACATAATCTGCCTTGTTTATATCGAACTTTTCTTGATCATTAATGTCATTACAATCTGAGAAGGTGTGGTGGTGATGGAATTGTTGGAAATGAAAGGTGTAATAAAATGAATGAATGAATAAAAACGGTTTCCTCTGTATCATGCATACTCTGTAAAACCTAATGGGTAAACTTCCAGATCATTTTGACTCGCTGCACAAGGGGCTAGCGCCATTATTTGAGTAGCTGAGAAGAAAGTTTAGAGCTGTTGTACACTCACGGTTCCAGACAGTACAACAAATATCAGTTTTTAGGTGGGATTTAAAGGACCGTATGGACTCTGCAGAAAGAATATCCGTGGGCAGGGAGTTTCAGAGGGGCTGCCACAGCTAAAGTATGATTTCCCTCAACACTTGGTGCCAAGCCATTTAAAACTAAAATGCAGTAATGACTTAAATAAAATGAACAGGTAGCAAGTGTAAATCTAAAATGGTAGTGACGTGCTTGTGCATTCTAGTTCCTGTTAAGACAAAGCAGCAGCATTCTGGACTAACTGGGGATGGTGAGACTAAGGTTCCAAACCCTGCAGGTGCTGGTCATAAACTTATCGGTTTGATTTTTTAGTAATTCCATTCAAAACGACTTGTATATTCATTACATAAGACCTAATTTCTAATGTTGACTAACCAACCAATGAAAACTCCAAATTTAGTAATTAAAATATTGCAAAAAAATGTTCAATATCAGAAAAGACCTGATGCCACAGTCTAATCTGCTAAATAAACTTAAAGCCTTTAAATGGTCTGTCCTGTAGGCTAAACAATCATGGGGAAGACTTGACTTGACAGTTGCCCAAAAGGTGACCAGTGACACTTTGCACAAGGATGGCAAGACACAAAAGGTCATTGGCTGGCTGTTCAGAGCTCCGTGTCCGAGCGCATTAATAAAAAGGCACAGTGATGGAAACAATGTAAAGTGTACAAGCAATAGGGATAACCACATGAGGATGGTGAAACAAAACTCTTTCCAAAATGTGGGGGAGATTCACAAAGCGTAGACTGCAGTTGCAGTCAATGCTTCAAGAACCACCATGCACCGAGGTGTGCAAGACATGGGTTTCAGCTGAGCATATTCGTTTCTCAAGTTTAAAAGGACTGTCTACTAACACTCAAGATTCTTGATCATGGAGGAAAAATAAGCAAGAGGGCCAAGAATTTCAACACATGGGGATCTGATTTCCAAAAATCAACAATATGGGGTAGAGGTAGGACAGCCGACCTGGGACCAGAAAGTCATTGCTCGACTCCCAGTCATTCCCACATGTATCTCTGAGCAAGACACCCAATCCTTAATTGCTCCTCAGACACTAGCTGCCCACTGCTCCACCTGGGTGTATTCCACGTGTGATGGGTTAAATGTAGAGAGCCAATTTCACCATTGTATGGGAACATACAATGATAACATATAGTACTTATACATTTAACCTCCTAAGACACAAACTCTTGCATACAGGTATGTGGATGCCAGGTTGTCCACATACGTATGTGGATGCCATGTCCTAGGAGGTTAAAACAACTTCAGCCTTGAGCATGCATCAGAAAACTTCAGTCTTGTTTTAATTCAAGGCTAGACAGTTCAGAGATATCCAGCCTGTCTTTTAGACAATTAAACAGAGGGTGTAGTGGGGCAGAAACATATGATTTAAAAGGGAAAAAAATATGTGGATGTCAGCAAAGCAATGAATATAGTTTTCTCAAAATTGATCCCAAAGGCAGCAAGTATAAACAGAATAAAATGAGATCCAAAATGGACCTTTGAGGTACAACACAATAGGCAGATGAAGAAGAGTATTGCCCCATGGAAATAGAAAAGGACCTGTCCGTTAAGTAAAACTTGAACCACAACAAAAAACAAGCCTTTAAGACCAACATGTACAAGTCTTGATAAAAAGATGCTGTGATGAACTGTATCAAAAGCTGTGGTTAATCTAAAAGAACTAAAACAACGGAGTCAACCTTTGAAGGAAGAACATTCAACCTCTTAAAAGTACTGTCTCAGTGCTATGACGGGATTTAAATCCAGACTGGAACTCTTCACACACTTCATGAGAATCTAAAAGCAATAAATGTAAAAGCAGATTTTGCAGCTTTCACAGCCCTCCAATACTTAGATAAGCAGTAATGACAAATTCCCAGAGACACCTGGAGTTTGTCCTTTTTCCACCTTTTCTCTGCGCAGCAGCACTCCTGTCTGAAAGCACAAGTGTTTGATTTAACCAAGGCTGGGATGGTTGAGCGGGTTTAGTTCTGAGTAGGGCAACAGAGATGCTAGAACATGTTGAAGTAAAAACATTAATCAGCCCATCAACATTAAGGTCAGCATAATCCCTGGCATCACTGAGGGCTGAGCTGATGAACGTAAAGGAAAAGTGACCAGCTGTCAATGGATTTATTGCACGCAATTGTTGCACTGGTCTCTGCCTATTTGTCTCCACATAATACGTGGCATATCTTGCTGGCAGTAAATCTGAGTTTTAGTTTAAAATACAAGACTTTTTTTTTTCCAAATTTTGACAAGCGAAGCAGCTAGAGTGGGGCCCTTTCTCAGAGTATTTCTGCCATCTTGAAATTTAAAGTAGCCCAGCTTAAGGAAGAACTGCTGGGCAACTCCATCAGACCAGATGAGCAGGAATGAGCAGTTCTAACCAGTATTCTGGCTTGCAACCAGAGAAAGCCAATGGGGGCAAGAAGATAAAAATAAACTTACCTCCTTGAGCTATGATGTGACTTAGAAAGAAACACCTCAGGCCACAGTGCCCTTCAGCCTTTACTGTCTTTATTCTAAACACCCTTGATTTCTACAAACACCCAAGGTGCTTCAGAAGCACAGCTTTACTGTCATGTTGTGCTCTCTGTTACTACAAATACCAAAGCATTTCTGTTCAATTCAACCTTTATATATAAAGGTTAGCCTCATTGAGCCTCAAGGACTCATTTACAAGAGAGACATGTAAGTGTTTGGGCTGAAGAACTATCACAGTGGATAACAAAATATTTGACTCTAAATATAAACTATCCCAGTAGAATGTTGGTACCGACAGCCCCTTGGTTTGCAAATTTTCATACACTTCACTTGATTCCTAATTGTTCAAACCTTACATTGTGGTTTAAATGTGTTTAATTTACAGTGTTGTATTAAATGTTATGTGTTTCTGCTGTTCAGAATGCTCATTTAAACTGAATGTAGTGAATCGTGAGCATTATCTGTTTGCACACCTTGTTACATTTCATCTGAAGAGATTTTTAGGAGGTGGAGTATCTGGTGTTACAAGCCCAACAAGTCACTGACCACATCCAACTTCAGTATTATCCCAACGGCAACTGATTTTGGGGGCAATAGTCCCCCTCACATTGAGTTGTCCTGCAAGGGGTTTATTTTGTGCAATACGCTGTAGAGTTGCATTCGGGCCTAAAAAAATCTGACCCGGCCCCAGCCCGTAGCCATTTCTTTCCGAGCCCAACCCGACCTGACCATTTAGCTGTAATTACAGACCCGAAACCAATAAAAAAAAAATACTTTTTTTAAAACTAAGCTTTTACTGCTTTTGTAAGCAAATCAGTTTGACGTGATATTTTAAAAACGTATTTCAAAGAAAGGAAGATATAAGATTTCTTGTTTATTAACAAGTCACCAAATGGATATTAACATACAAAACGAATAGCCTAAACAATTCAACACTAAAGATAGGCTATTATACAGATGAACAAAAATATTTTTAGAGCAAAATTATTTGGAAAAATATAGAACAAGACTATTTTAAATAAAGGCGCTGCTCGCTTCAGCTTTTGTAGCTTCAGATGCTGCTACTTCCTTCACCGCATATGACAGCACGGTGCACGCGGCCGTTGATCCATTCGGCTGGTCAGTGGACGTGCGCGGACAATGATCCAGTGATCCATCTGAAGCTTAACATGACTTTTTTTTTTAAACCTCTTTCAACCAGCCGGTCAGCGGATGCGTGCGGCCGATGAACCCATTGTCCATCTGAAACCTACGACATTTTTACCTCTTTCAACCAGCCGGTTGGACCTGAGCATGCACCTGACCTGACACACATCAGCAGGTTTCGTTGTGCTGGTTTGTAGAGTGAGTTCTCCCATTTTTAGCTTTTGTTTAATACTTTCCAGCTACATTATGTCGCTTGTTGTGGGTTAATTGCAAATTCTCAGATGTGTGATAAAAGTAGGGCGGGTGGGGCCACATGTGCAATTGTAATGCAATGTACCAGCGCTACTCTCTCTTTTCACAGTCTGATTAATTGCTGCACTCTTCTTTCTTTCCTCATCCTCTCAACATAGTGAACTTACTGCCTCTACAAGTAGATTAACGCATTTTTATATTGTGCATGCATTCTTATTTAGTTTTCTTTGGGCTGTATGATTCGTAAAACCGCATCAAAAGCCTGACACCAACCCAACCCGCCCATCAAGTGCATAATTTTGGCCCAACCCTGCCCGAACTTCAGGTCGGGCCAGGCCGGCCCAGGCTCGGATCAGAAATTGCAGCTCTAATACACTGGCCCCATACATCCAAACTTAAAAGCGGAACATGAACTACATTCAGTTTTTTTCTTCTAACGTTGATGAAACCTGAGGGATCTGCAGCTTTGAGAGCTACACCTTCCAATTGTGGGGTCAAGATGCATGACAGTTGATTTAGCCTCAAATTCAAGAATCAAAGTAGTAAAATGAACATAGTAAATTATATTTATGAAATCACTTGACATAGCCCTGTCACACCGAACAAGATAAACAAAATCATTAATTAATGTAACCAAAATGCTTGGACATTTCATTTTTAAAATGTTAATTTGTCAGACTCTAATCCAAGGTACAAGTGCTTTTGGTGTCACAACTAGAGTTTTCCATAAGAGTAGGTCAAATTTGTGTCTGAATTTAAAAGTCAGACTGAACTTTATCTGAGTGTAGATGTGTAGTTTAAGTTGTAACACTGCACTGTATAAAAGACAATAGAGCAAATAGGATGACCTGTCAGTGTTAGGATTTTTTACATTTTTGTTCATGTTCAGCATACTTCAGGAATGTAGTTTATATGTACATATACTCAGGCAAAAATACTTTTTTAAAGTGTTTGCAAACTATATAAAAAAAAAATCCCACATTACATTTAAATCAGTTCCCTTTTTTAAAATGTATTTGTTTTTACCATTTTTGGTATATCATCTCTAATATATGTTGACTTATTTACAAGTGTTAACAAAACCCTCAGTGTGCTAAACTGGGATCTATTGTGTTGTGTATCTGATCCTTTTGCATTTTATCTATTAAAATAAAACCAAACAAGTTTTAAAATTACCAGAGAAGAATGGAGTAAATGTAATGGGCTAAATTTCTAGTTTTTCTAGTTTGTGCCACACGGTGAGACATGATAGTATAAAAAGACAGAGGTAAAGACAACTGACTCACTCCTCTTGGAAGTCCTCTTGCTGAGTATAATTTGGTTTTCTCAGGTAAAAATATTTGATTTTTATTTACTTCCTTTGACATTAAATTAAAAAAAAAATGGATGAAGTATAATTAAAAAATGTTTTCTTAATGTATCTGTTTGCAGCTGTTTAGAACTCACATCTAATTTCTGCAAATATGATAAAGCAGGTAAGATGTAAATTATTCTGTTATGGATTCAAAGTTTTTAAAAAGTATTGATAAAACTATGCGTATTTAAAACTTTTTTTTTTTGTTTGTTATAGTTAAGTTTTACCTTTGCTGCAGTTTTACTGCTTGGTATGTTCATCTCAACTTCTTCAGTAATAATTTTCACTTTTGATAATTCTACAATGTATTTGTACAAAAAAAAATCACTAATAAGCATTATTCTCATGTTATTTATTAGGTTACCTGGACCTAAGTCTTCAAAGTAAGACATCATTCTTGATTTTTCAATGAACACAACACTAGTTTTTATGTTCTTCTATTGTCAAAAACTCTAACTGCATGGACTATCTCAATATTTTAAAGATAAAATAATAATAATAAAAATAGTAAAATAGTAGAAATGTTATTTATTTGGTTCTAAAAGAAGTTTCATGACATTTAAATAAGTAATATATAGATGAAAATACAAAATGTTTCTTCTGTTTTTATCTTCACAACCTCTATTTAAAATGCTTTGTCCCACCAGTGCCACCCACACTTGCGCCTGACGTTTGTTGGACCAGATGGTTCAATCGAGACTTTCCCTCTGGACAAGGTGACTGGGAGACTTTGGAGAAACTGAGGAAAGAATACCCAGGACAAATCTGTCTCAAACCTCTGGACATTCAGGCTGTTACATCTGAAAGATGGATCCCAGCTGAAAACACACACCAGATTTTCTACGCGTGAGTTGTTGAGTTAAACAAGAACTTGTTAGAAATAATTTTTGAGTTGCAACATAAAAGACAGCAACTAATTATTTCACCTGCATCGAATGTTATCAGCAATGACCGTTATTAGTTGTTATCATCCCCGTAGGTTGCCTTCAGACTGTACCTCCTAGTAGGTTTAAAGGTACATTGTTATTGCTGATAATAGGGTCAGGGGGTAAAGAGTCATGAGTCTGGGGGTTAGGTTTAGGGTCATGGTTAGGTTAAAGCTCAAGGGTCAGGGGTTAAGTTTAGGGTCAGTGCTCTGGGTCAGGTGTAATGTTAGGTTTAAGTAAAGGGTTAAATAAAGCTAACAAAAAAAAACTTCCGGTTTTACACACCTGCAAAGCTGCATATTATCAGCGATAACAATGTACCTTTAAACCTACTAGGAGGCAGGAGGGACAGTCCGAATGCAACCTATGGGGATAAGAACTAACAACAGCCTTTTAATGGGCTGATAACATCTGAAGCCGCTCATTATTTATATTGACTCAGTATCCTCTGTTATCTTTCAGCTATGATACCGAAACAGGCTTCATTTGCCGCAATAAGGACCAGAAACATGGACTCTGCTTTGACTACAAAGTTCGCTTTAGATGCCCGTGTCGTTTTTGAAGACCAAGTTTAAAGCTGCCAATATTGAAAGGTGGAGGGTGATGGTGTTGTGGCTTTCTTTTTCTTAATTGGTTTTCTTCTTCCTAATGAAATCTAATGAAGTTTCTTTGTTACTGGTGGCCTTTCAACCAAATGTCCTGCTGGTTAAAAAATGTTCTGACTTTTGCATGTTTTAAATGGGTTTCTGATATTATTGGGAAAAACAGCAAATAAAAAAAAAAATAAATAAATAAAAACCTTGTCTTTTTTCTATCTAATTTTTTCTTTTAATTTGGTCACAACTTCAGGTAAAGATAACATTCTAAGTTCAAACATTTCTTTTGTTACAACACTTAGGCTTTGAATTTGGGTTTGAATTCCAAGTTTTCAGACAATAACAAAAAAATGTAACACACTGTAGCTGGTATTATGTTAAAGTTTTGGTATTTAAATGTGAAAACCTTAAATTTTCACTTATTTCTCAACCTTAACTTCCTGGTCACACATTTATTAATATAATTTCATACTGGGGTTGATGAAAATATTTATGTTTCACTTAAAATGTATTTCTTGCTACAAATAATTGTACACCAGAATATAGGCTAAATAAATGATCAACTTTTTCTGAACGTAAGTAAGTACGTAAACTTTATTTAAATAGCACTTTTCATAGATACAATTACAAAGTGCTTTACAAAAATACAAAATACAAGCTTAAAATAAAACGAAAACAATAACAGCTGATTAATAAAAACAGTAAGAACAGCTGATAAAAACAACAAATAAAACATTTAGCTAAAAGCTTGTCTGAATAAAAGTGTCTTAAGCTGCTTTTTAAAGGAATCAATGAAGATGGCCTCAGGAAGAAACAGAGGCAGAGCATTCCACAGTCGGGGGGCTACGGCCTGAAAGGAAAAGTCACCCCGAGTTTTAAACTGGGTCTTAGGGACCTTTAGGAGGTTCAGCGCTGAAGACCGAACAGTGCGGGCTGGAGAATAAGGGATCAACATTTCAGTGATGTACTGGGGGGCCTGTCCATTTACAGCTATAAAAGTTAAAACCAAAATTTTAAAATTAATTCTAAATTCAACAGTCAGCCAATGAAGAGAAGATAAAACTGGTGAAATGTGTGACCTTCTATTAGTTCCTGTTAAAAGCCTCGCAGCAGCGTTCTGGACCAACTGGAGACGAGCGACGGCAAATTTGTCATAACAAGTAAAAAGGGAATTACAATAATCTAAACGAGAAGAGATAAAAATATGAATAATCATCTCCAGGTCAGATCTGGATAACATTGCCCTCAAATTAGAAATGTTTCTCAAATGATAAAAGCAGTTTTTTACCAGAAGCTTTGAATGTTTTTCCAATGACATTGACTGGTCAAACAGAACACCAAGGTTTCTGACTCGGCTGAGAAGAGGAGCCCAGAAAACCGAGGTGTTGCTTGATCCAAGGAACTTTATGTTCAGGAGCAATGATCAGGGTTTCAGTCTTGTTAGAATTTAACTGAAGGCAGTTGTTAGCTATCCATGCCTTAATTTGAGAAACACAGTTTACTAATTCAGCTAACTTGTGTAATTCTGAGTCATAGAAGAAACAGTAAAGGTGAATGTCATCAGCATAGAAATGGAAAGACACATTTCTGAAGCTACTGATAATCTTTCCAAGGAGGCTGATGTATAGAAGGAACAGAATAGGACCTAAGACTGAACCCTGAGGAACACCATACAGTAACGGAGTGGTCTTATTGTATGTTATTCACAAACATTGAAAAGGTTCTGTTGCTCAGATAAGAGGAAAACCACTTAAGAATAATTCCAGAAATTCTTAACTCATGTTGCAGTCGATGTCTCAGAATTTTGTGGTCGACTGTGTCAAAGCTGATGACAGATCCAATAAAATCAATGTACTGCTCTGACCAGAGTCTGCAGCCATCAGTATGTCATTAGAGACTTTTAATAAGGCAGTTTTGGTGGAGTGCATCTTGCAAAAACCTGAGCTATGATGAGTATCAGTGGTTTTAAAACTATGATCCAGAGAAAACTCCTTGGAGCTAGAACATTTACGTTGGTGTGCTAACTTGTTATCTGTGAATGTACAGCATGGCCTGCGTGTTATGCAACTTTGTGTCCAGCATTTATCTTAAAGGTGACTAAAGAAATATTAGGACTATAATGCTACCCTCTTGAAATGAGATCCAGATTTTAAAACTGTTTGAGCTCTGTAATACCAAAATTATGACTGTAAAATGAATTCTATCTAGCTGTAAATTCCTGAATTCTCTGTTAAATTGTGAATTAAAAATAAAATAAACACCAGAACTGTTTGTAACTTTGACTAAGACACCAGTATGAGATGAAGAAAAGCATCCTGAAACATGATACTGCTAACACCATGCTTTATAATGGATATGATGTTTGTGAAGCTAAAGTGTTGTTTCTTGTTTTAGCATCAAATATATTTATTGGAAATGTGACAAAACAAATTCAGCTTTGGTTTCATCAGTTTATAAGACATTTTACCCCAGGCTTTTTTTTAATAAAAAGTAGACAGTAGACAGACTTTTTGTTGTCTTGTCTTTTGGTCGTATTTGGGGGATGTCACCTTTGCTTTTTTACCGTTGACTCACACATTCTTCACTTTTTAATGGCTTTCTTCAATGTGATTCATTGAAAATCCAGTGCTGCAAAAACATTTCTGTAACCTTCTCGTTACATTTGCCTTTCAACCATTATAAGACAAAAATTAGGAAGCCCTAAAATTTTTCTCATCCATTGGACAGACTATGAACTGTGTACACGAGCCCATTAAAATGAAAAGTGTTGTAAGGTTAAGTTAGACTGCAATAAATCTTAAAAACATCTTCGATTTTTAAGGTGATCTCTAATCTGGGCAATTTAAATATGCATATTATTGGAAAAATCTAGAGGTTGCGCAAAGTGCGCATTTTCCTAAATGAATTTCTTGTTCTTGGATATACCATCAGTTAAAGAGTCTTAACGTTATAAAGTTCAGCTGTCCTATAAAATGTACCTGATGTTTACTCAGTTGCCTGTTAAAATTATGGTTTGCATCAGGTTTACAAAATTTAAAAGTTTACTGTTTGTTTGCTAGAAAGCTGAAGGTGAAGAGGAATTTCACCTTTCAAGAAACAATGACCCCCAAGCATATGTCCGATTCAACATACGAATGGCTTCATCTGAAAAAAACAAAAACAAAAAAAAACCAAAGTTTGGAATGGTCGGGGCACAGCCCAGACATAAATCTAATAGAAGGCCTGAACTGAAGAAGTCTATGCACAAGACATGCCCTTGCAATCAGACAAATTACAATCAGAGTCTTTGCTAGGAAAAGTGAGCAAACATTGCTGAGTCAAATTGTGTCATGTTGGTAGATTCCTATGAATTGCTATGATGAAATCAAAAGTTGATCCAACATAGTTTATATTTGTGTTTACTCATGTACCCATCAATTATTTTTATTTTTTCCCTTAATTTTGTTTGTGTTTTGCATATTTTTAACAAATACAGGAGTTGATATGAGCATAAACACAAAATAATGTTTTATTTATTTATTTTTTAATATAAAAATGTGGGAGTACAGCCTTCTGCAGCTTCCTGATCCAAAATGGATGCTAATCAGCAACACCTGCAGGCCATCTCACTAATGAGGATCCCTACATAAGGCTGGAGATGGGCCCTACTCCCCGCTGGAGCATTGTCAATGCCACATGGTATTTCTGCTTCTGGCCCAGTTGCCACATGGTATTTATGCTTCTGGCCCAGTTGCCACATGGTATTTATGCTTCTGGCCCAGTTATTCTCCTGTGTGAACATAACTAGCATTATCTTCTCTTCGTTCTACAGCTTACCTGTGTCCCACGAGTGCCTCAATGTCCTGGCCATCCCAATGTTTCCTCATGCTCCTTGCCCTCCAGCCACTGGCCTGTTTCACTGGTGTCCACATCTTTGGAACCTCCTTGGACTGTCCTCCCAAGACAAGAGAAGCCGCCAGGACTGTAAGATTAGAAAATACCTTTTTCAGATTATCCTCCAACAAGAAATGCCTAACTGACACATCTCCTTGCTCCTCGGGGTTCCAGAGGACCTCCCTTGAAAATGATTTATCCACTGTAAATAACACTGTTAATCCTTTTTAAGTGTGGAGTTTCTCGTTCTGGTCTCATACTATCTGGGTTCCATGTGATCATAACAAAAAAAGTTTCACTTTTTAATTAATCCATGTATTTAATTTGATCATTTGTGTCTTGGATTGCTGTTGAATTGAGCTGCTGTGTTCATTAGTCCTCATCTGCTCATACAGACTCATGTTCATGCTGCTGTTGTTTTTCTGTCTCGTTTGTCTCCATGTTTCCCCGTGATGGACTGGTGACCTGTCCATGGTGTCCCCTGCCTCTCGCACAGTGATGGCTGGACATGGGCACCAGTGACACCTGCAACCCAACAAGGACGTGGGTAAAGATAATGGATGAATGAATAAACCAAATCTCACAAGTCACCACTTGTTTATGTGTGAACAAAACCTTTGAGGTTCAAATCTGGAACTGCTATGTTGTGCATCTGGTCCTTTTGCCTTTTTATCTGTGAAAATGCAACAAAACAAGTTTAAAATTTCCAAAGAAGACGTCAGGAGTGAACTTTTTGTGTTGACAATTTTGAGATTGTGCCACAGGGTGAGACTTACTGCTATAAAAAGACGGATGTAAACAGAACCAACTTACAGGACCGAGACGTTCTCTTGCTGAATCTCCTCTGGTCATAACAGGTAAAATCTTTCTTTAGATTTTTCTTTAAGAGTGGGGAAAAGACACAAGGTTTTAGACCTAAGATGAAACTGAATTAATTTTTAAGAAAGTAAATAAATAAATAAATAAACATTTTCTTCTTTGCAGTTGTTAAGAACTGAACTGGTTTTTGCAAATATGATCAAACAGGTAGGAGTTTATTTGTGGTGTTAAAGTTATAAAATAAAATAAATGTATATTAAATTAAATGCATTTACCAACTCATTATACTGTTTCTGTTACAGCTGAGTTTTGTTTTTGCTGCAGTTTTGCTGCTTGGTATGTTGAACACAGTGACAGCAGTAACACATTTTAGTTTAGACAATGTGTACACAAACTACAACCACTAACTAACATTACTCTGATTATTTTTTACAGGTTACATGGAACCAAGTCATCAACGTAAGAATTTTCATAAAGCATCTCCTGGTGTTTTAGGCTCTTTACTGTCAAACTGTTCTAACAGTTAATACTATTTAAACACTCTAAATGTAAAGAAAAAGTTTCAGTACTTTATTTCATAATATAGTTAGAAAACGAAGTGATAAAAAAACATGGCCTGGCTTCGTTCCACTGGCTTCCTGTCCACTTCTGGATTGATTTTTAAGATTTTATCGCTTGTTTTTAACATCTTAAAAGGTGTGGCCCTGTCTTATTTATGTGATCTTCTTAATATCTACACTCCAGTGAGAGCAACTGGTCTACCAACCAGTTTCTTTTAGATGTCCCCAGATCCAAACTCAAATCCAGAGTTGATGGTCCAAAATTGTTGAACAGTTTACCTGATCATTTAAAGATTGCAGATACTATTGGTACTTTTATGTCTTTGATCAAAACTCATCTTTTTTTCTTGGCATTTGATTCATACAAAGTTTGAGAAGCAGTTATACCTGATTTTTATTGTTGTCCTGTTGTATTTCATTGTTAACTTTCTTGTTTTTCCAGAGTGACACAAGATGTATTCTTGTATTCATTTTAGTTTGACTAATATGAGGTGCTGTTTGTAAAGTTACACAGTCAAAAATTAACAGCACTATTTTGGTCTCATAATTTTCCTTTCATAAGAAAAAAAAAAATCACAAAGTCATATTTTCACTATGTTATTCATGCATTTATAAATGTCATAGTTCCAAACTAAATATTTCATTTACAAGCTAAATATTTAGTTTATAAACTAAATATTTAACTTGCAAGTTAATTATTTAGTTAGCTAACTAATTATTTAGGTGTAAATCAAATATTTAACTTCCAAGCTAAATGTTTATTTTTCAAAGCTAAACATTTAATTTCCAAAATAAATCTTTAATATGCTAATGAAACATTTAGCTCAGACCTAAATATTTAAATGGCAAATTAAATATTTAGTTTGTAAATTAAACTTTGAGCTTGTAAACTAAATATTTAGTGTGGAGTTAAATATTTAGCTTGCTAACTAAATATTTAACTTGCAAGTTAGGTATTTAGTTTGTAAAGTAAATATTTAGCTTGTAAATTAAATATTTAGTTTGGACCTTTGACATTTATAAATAAATGAATAACATGGTGAAAATATGGCAGCATGGTGGCGCAACTGGTAGAGCTGCTGCCTCTCAGTGAGAAGGTCCCTGGTTCAAACCCCGGTCCAGGGGCCTTTCTGGGTGGAGTTTGCATGTTCTCTCCGTGCATGCGTGGGACCAAAAACATGCATGTTAGGCTGATTGGTAACTCTAAATTGTCCCTAGGTGAGCGAGAGAGAGTGAATGGTTGTTTGTCTCGTTTGTCTCGATGTGGCCCTGTGATGGACTTGCGACCCGTCCAGGGTGTACCCCGCCCCTCGCACAGTGATTGCTGGACATGGGCACCAGCGACCCCCGTGACCCAAAATGGAACAAACGGGTAAAGAAAATGGATGGATGGATGGATGGTGAAAATATGACTTTGAAAAAAAATATAAGAAAGGCTAAATAAAACAAAATATTGCTGTTATTTTTGACTGTGTAATTTTACAAATGCACACCACAGACTAAACTGTAAAGCGCTTTTGTCAGCTTTTGTTGTTTTTACATGCTATATAAATATACTAACATTGAAATTGACAAAAAAAGTGTCAAAATGTAATTGCAAAATGTATTTCACCTAAATTATTATCGTTTAAAATCGCTACAGAGCCATCAGATACTATCATTGAACGATTGTGTTGGACCAGATGGTTCAATGGAGACAGTGCCACTGGAGCAGGTGACTGGGAGACTTTGAAGTCCTTGAGAGAAAAGTATCCAGGACAAATTTGTCACAAACCTATGAAAATTCAGGCTGTTACAGCTCAAGATGAAATCCCAGCTGAAAAGACAAATCAGATTTTCTTTGCGTAAGTTGTCTTTACACATTACTAGTTTTAACAAATGCAGTCGCCAAACTAAATATTCTTCCTTCCAACTTTTCTTATTTGTTTCTCCTTAAACAGTCATTAGAAACTATATATCTTTTAGAGAAACTTGTGTTATTGATCAGAGATTTGCACACTTAAAAATACAACATATCTGCATATTCTTTCTGCAATTTCATTTACCAAGCAAAGCATTTCATATGGTGAAAGATAACCTTATAAATAGAAAAAAGGTAAAATAGAGCTGTGATTTTTGGCCTGAGCCCTAGGGAATCAATCAGGAACAATAACATGAGAAAATTACATCTGAATCTCACTTTCCTCCATTTTCTTTCAGCTACAACACCAAAACAGGCTTCATTTGCCGCAATCGGGACCAGAAACATAGACGCTGCTTTGACTACAAGGTTCGCTTTGGATGCCTGTGTAAATTTGACGTCTAAGTTCCACTGCTACCAATAAATGGGAAAATAAACAACAAAAAGATGTTGATTTAAGTGTCTGACTTATATTTCATCCATTTTCCAGAAGGACACTTTGCCCCCACCAAAAAAACTATTGACAAAGTAAAGTTTATTTCCCAAATAGTATATTATCTACTATATGGTTTTGGGGAAAAAGGTTACATATATTTGATCTGACTTTTCTCTTAAACATTGGGTAAATAAATCCAAATTTATTTTGTTAAAGTTAACTATTATTTGTTGTTGTTGTGTTTTTTTTTTTTCTTCAGACTTACTTGAAGTAAACTTTTTATTTAGTCATCACTGAGGCTGGAAAAAATAATATACTCAGTCTCTATATGTCTCATAATTTTACATTTGAATAAAAAAATGTATTTAATGCACTTTCACATTTTTACTCAAGGTTCAAAAAGTAGATATGCTGTTTTCTCTTAAGTTTGTCATAAAACTGCTGTTCATTCATTCAACAGAAACATTTTATAATTCAATGTTTTTTCCCCATTAGAAATACTGTATAATAGTATTTAATAATGTAAAATGGAGCTTGATAGTTGAGAGCTTTGTATGTTAATTGAAAACTCAAATCTGTATTCTACAGGGAGTCAATGGAGAGAAGCTGAAGTTTGAGACATACAGTATGATCTCAAAATGGTGGAGCAATAGTTAGAGCTGTTGCCTCACAGCAAGAAGGTCGCAGGTTCTTTTTTGCCTGGGGCATTTCTGAATGGTGTTTGCATGATCTACCCATGCAAGTGTGGGTTTTCTCTAGATACCCAAGTTTCTTCCCACAAACCAAAAACATCAAGTTAGGGTAACTGGCTTCTTCTGAAAGGGTTTACCAAACTTTACCCTCTTGTGTAAAATAAACTTGCTAGAGTCACCACTGATTTTCGGAGGATAATATCTCGGAGTTTTCAAGTTTTTGGAGAAAAAGCCCACAAACCTGTGTTACAACCCGCTGGCTCAAAAAGGCTGTAACACTGAGGACCACTCTCTCACATTGGCTAAGGTTAATGTTTATGGTTGAGTCATCAGGAGAACACTGAACAACAATGTGTGAATGGCAGGATTGAAGGAGAACAGGACAGCCTGCCATAATTTATGGAACAAAGAATTCTGAATTATATCAAAGAATTCTAAAGGAAAACATCAGAACATCTATCCATGAACTGAATCTCAAGAGAAGGTGAGACATGCAGCAAGACAATGACACTAAGCCCACAAATGGTTCTACTAAAGAATGAAAAAAGTTTGTAAGCTCAATCATCCAGGTAGATAAATGCAAAAAGGTTAAATCAGGTCATCTGAACAGTTTCTTTTTGGGAGAATAGATAAACAAGAATGAAGTTCATGTTATGGAATGGCCAGGTCAAAATGCTAACCTTAATCCATTCAAAATGTTAAGGAGGTTAATAAGGAGCTGAAGCGAGCAGTTGTTGTGAGGAAACCCACCATTATCCCAGAGTTGAAGCTGTTCTGTACGGAGGAATGGGCTAAAATTCCTCATAGATGGTGTGCAGGACTGATCAACAGTTAACAGAAATGTTTAGTTGCAGTTATTGCTACACAGGGGGTCACACCAGATACTGAAAGCAAAGGTTCACATATTTTTGACACTCACAAATATGTAATATTGGAACATTTTCCTTTTTCTTTTTTTTCTGACTGTTGTTTGTGTCTATGCACCAAACTGCAGTTCAGAGTATCCAGCCTTCTTGGAGTCCTTGACAAGGGTACTGGAAGGTACGCCAGCTGGGGATTTATTTATTCTGCTGGGGGACTTCAAAGACCACATGGGTAATGACAGTGTGACCTGGAGGGGCGTGACTGGGAGGAATGACCTGTCTGATCTGAACTCAAGCGGTTTTCTGTTGTTGGACTTCTGTGCTAGTCATAGTTTGTCCATCACAAACACCATGTTCAAACATAAAGGTGTCCACAAGCGCACTTGGCACCAGGACACCCTAGGTCATAGCTTGATAATTGACTTTGTAGTCATGTCATCTGATTTGTGGCCATTTGTTTTGGATACTCAGGTGAAGAGAAGAGCTGAGCTGTGAACTGATCACCACCTGGTAGTGAGTTGGATCAGATGGCAAGGGAAGATGCCAGACAGACTCGATAGACCCAAATATGTAGTGAGGGTTTTCTGGGAACGCCTGGCAGAAGAACCCATCAGAAAGGATGTTCCCTGGGCCTCTCCCTATGGTAGTGATTCGGGCATGTCCGACTGGGAGGAGACTCCAGGGAAGACGCAGGACACATTGGAGAGATTATGTCTCTCAGTTGGCCTGGGAACACGTTGGAATCCTCCCAGAAGAGCTGGAAGAGGTGTCTGTGGAAAGAGATGTCTGGGCCTCGCTGCTCAAACTGCTGCCCCTGTGACCTGTTGATGTCTTGAAGCACTTTGGCTGTGGCTGCCTGGGAGGAGTCGATGGGGGAAAGGACAGCCCCCAGAAACCATCTTATCACCAGCAAACTGGTTAGTCCACCAAAGGAGTGTGCTGCTTTGTGGGGAAAAAACTGTTTGTTTGTGACTCCTCAGACTGATTTCAAAAAACGTTCAATACAAAAAGAGTATTCAACCCTCGCTGTTGAAACTTTAAATCGTCTGGTTGACGAGCTTAACCGTAAGGTGGAGGCGATTGAGAATCGCAGGCCACCTGCGGCTTCTGGGACTCATCAGCGTGGTGGGTTCGACCTTGAAGGAGACTCATAGCATGGATCAGTGGAATGGAATCCCACAATTGGGCATTTTCGGAACCAGAACGCCCAGACTCAAGGCTGAAAAAAAAGTAATCTGTCTGCCTGAAGAAAAAAACAAGAATCCAGCTTATCTAAATCTGACTCCCGATGACCTCGGAGACAGGCCGACTATCAATTTCTCCTGGGACATGAGTACCCAAGGACAAAAGCTTCATTTATCGCCCCACCTACAGGAGGGGTACAGGAGGAAGGTGTCTGGACCAGTCAGTTAGAAGTACTCACTGCAGATCCTCTCTGTTTTTTTTTTTTGTTTTTTTTTATCTCAAACAGTCAATTAAGGATTGTCAACCCAGATTCATCCACTGCCTTCCTTCATGCACTTCACCATAGGACACAACACAGGGTCACAAGAGAGATAGCCAGTCACCCAAACACTAAAGCAAATAAAAGTTCTGGTAGTCACATTCTTAGGAATGTGGTTTGTTGAAAAACTCATATCAAACATTAATTTAAATAAAATCACACATAAATGTAAATATCCTGATAAATGCTCAATAATCCATGTAGAAAAATCGAAAAAAGTTCAATCTGGTCCTCAGGACATTCAAAAAACAAGAAAAAAAAAAAAGAAAAAAAAAATGTAGAAACGTTTCATCTCTCATCCGAGAGACTTCCTCAGTCTGAGGTGCTGTATTCAGCTAAGTCTCTTGAATAGCACCTTCTCAGACTTTGTGGCTAAGGTGAGGGATGTTATCATGGAGACTGATGAAACAATGGTCTCTTTTGATATCACATCACTCTTTACGTGCATTCCTGTTGAGGATGCAGTAGAGGTGGTCAGTTTAAGATTAAAATCAGACACCACTCTGAGCAGCAGGACCACGCTTTCCACAGAACAACTGTGTCAACTCTTGAAACTGTGCCTGCAGTCAACCTACTTCACATATGGGGAGCAATATTATAGGCATAAACATGGGTGTGCTATGGGGTCTCCAGTTTCTCCTATTGTTGCCAACCTGTACATGGAGGAGGTAGAAAAGAGAGCCTTGACGTCCTTTTCAGGGACACCACCAAGTCATTGGTTCAGGTACGTTGACGACACCTGGGTTAAAATTAAATCTCAGGAAGTCCAACATTTTACTGACCACATCAACTCTTTGGATAAATACATCAAGTTCACACGAGAATATGTAAAAAATGGCAGGTTGGCTTTCTTGGACTGTGAGGTCTCAGTCTCTGATAGAGGACTTTTGCAAACCGAGATGTACCGCAAACCCACCCACAAAGACCAGTATTTGCAGTTTGACTCCCATCACCCTTTGGAGCACAAGTTAGGAATCATCAGGACTCTGTATCACAGAGCAGACAGCATCCCCCCTAACTCAGGAGCCAGGCAGAATGAGAAATCCTACACAAGACAGGCTCTAGAGCAATGTGGATATCCTAACTGGGCCTTCCTGAAAGCAGAGAAGAAACCCAAACAGGACTCCAGTCAGCCATCAGGTGAAAAGGAGGAACCCAGACCCAGACCAGTGATCATTCCATATGTTGAGGGAGTATCAGAGAAACTGAGACGTTTATTTTCCAAACATAATGTCCCAGTGGCTTTTAAACCCCAAAATACATTACGGCAAAGACTGGTTCATCCCAAAGATCCAGTCCCCCGGCACAAACAGAGTAATGTTGTGTATGCTGTTCAGTGTCAGGAGGGTTGTGATCAGTCTTACATCGGGGAAACTAAACAGCCACTGGCCAAAAGGATGGCCCAGCACAGAAGATCAACATCATCAGGCCAGGATTCTGCGGTCTACACTCATCTCCAGGCCAGCGGTCACTCTTTCAGGGAAGAAAATGTTCACATCCTGGATAGAGAGGAACGATGGTTTGAAAGAGGAGTAAAGGAGGCCATCTTTGTGAAAAGAAATCGTCCATCATTAAACAGGGGTGGAGGCCTCTGGGTTCAACTGTCCCCCTCTTACAATGCTGTGATTGCTAGTATCACTCAGCCCTCTGTGAACAGTAAACAGCCATCAGTGTGCTAATGATCCATTGTTAGGCTGATGGTCCTTCTTGACCATGTGAGAAGCTGGTTTTGGTTGTCAGCAGCAAACTGGTTGATCCACTCTGAGAAGGTGCTATTTAAGAGACTGAGCTGAATACAGCACCTCAGACTGAGGAAGTCTCTCGGATGAGAGACGAAACGTTTCTACATTTTTTTTGTTTTGTTTTTGTTTTCTTGTTTTTTGAATGTCCAGAGGACCAGATTGAACTTTTTTGGATAAATGTAAATACGTCAATATACTTTGATCTTTGGCAGTACAGGAAGAGCGAGCAAATATGGCATCTCTACACAACATAGATTTCGCACTTTTGAGATCAGTATTTTACTATAGTTCCATAGTATATAGGTCAGCAGCAGAAGCAAACCTTAAAAGGTTAGATACACTATATGTTCAGGATTTAAGGATCATCAGTGGGTCATTCAGAACATCTCCTGTGTCATCATTACAAGTGGAAGTCGGAGTAACCCTCGAAGAAGTGTTAAACTAATGCTAACATGCTGGGTCAGTCTTCAGGGACAAGATGAAATCATCCAACCAAAATAAGTTTAACAGATTGTTGGGAACATAATGAAACAAGCATCATAAGCTTTGGTGAAAAAAATTAAGTTTCAGTTTCAATACTGCCCTAACCTTTCATTATCCATTCCTCCATGGGAATTTCCATTACCTAAAATAATTGTCCATTGTCCAAAATTATTGTGAAGAACACTTTTCTGATATAATTTTATTTACTGAGGGTTCTAATGATTGTAACACAGGTAGGGTAGGTTCAACAGTCAACATCTAAGTCAGTAACATCTAAATCAAGAAGAGAGATTCAAATCATTTATCAGTTTACACAACAGAACTGTTGACAATATTGTTGGCTTTGCAGTGGATAGAGAATGAAATAATAATAAAAAAAAACATTTGTGCATCCAAAAGTATTTCTGCACTCAGTAGTATTGCAACTGGTAAATCATCAATCAGAACAGATATTGTCAATGAAAATTTTATTGCAATGTATAGGATAGAAATTAAAGGCACAAAAATACAACTCCTTTGGGTTCCAGCACATGTTAATATGGCGTGAAATGAAATAGCAAACACCATGTCAAAACAAGTAATCAAGAGAAAGTCCATAGAACTACAAGTCCCATTCAGCAAATCTGAAATTAAACCATTCATCAGAAAATACAATATATGGGAATAGGCAAGGGCATTGCAATTTACAGGAAACTGGAAGACATTTACGCAACACACTGTAAATGGTAAATGGACTGTACTTATATAGCACCTTTCTATCTTTTCAAGATACTCAAAGCTCTTTACACTACAATCTGTGCCCTCATTTACCCAATCATACAGCACTCTATGTCTTTTCAAAGACTAATCAGTGCTTTAGATCACACTCATACACTAATTGGACACACATCGGAGGAAATGAGGGGTTCAGTTTCTTGCCCAGGACATGCATGTGACTGGTGGTGGAATCGAACCTCCAACTCTCCCATTGGCGGACGACTGCTCTAACCACTCAGCCACAGCTGCCCCAACAACATAAAACATGTTGGGTTAGGATGGAAAACAATATGGATTAGAAAATAAGAAAATGTAATTACTCGAATCAGAATAGGACATTCCGATCTCAACTACACTTTATATAAAATGTGCAAGCATCCAACAGGAAAATGCCCATAATATAACCAGCCAAAAACCAAGGAACATGTACTGCTACACTGCAATAAATACAGTGACTAAAGGGATCATCTATTTCAGTCATCTCATTAAGGGAGAAAACACATCAGCACTTCACATTAATTGAGCTATTGGAAGATAAATCAGCCAGCATATACAGGTACAATTATTTTGTTTTTAAAGACAATTATAAATTTAGTCCAATTTAGAGTTTTTTTTTTCCTTTTTTCTTTTCTGTCTATTCTCCAGATCTACACTTTAGTCCAGTTGGTGGCAGTAATGCGCTTAAAATGAGTTTCCCAACCGCCAATAAAAATCAAAAGAAGAAGAAGTAGCATAAAAATCAGAGGACAAATGGTTGCAGGTGTGGAGTCCTCACTGGTTTTCAAGGTAGACTGAACTTTTCAAAGAAAAAAAAATGCATTTGGTACTTTACAAGAAGCTTAAACTGTTTTTCTTTGTTTGCAGTTAACTAACGTCAGGTTTTCTGCAAAAATGATCAACCAGGTAAAATACTCTGTAGCGTCTAAATAATGTGAACACATGTTAATGCAAGACTGCACAACCTTAATGTACTGATGACATTTATCTTGCTCTTGTCACAGATCAGTTTTAGCATTGCAGTGGTGTTTCTAGGTATAATTTTAAGTTGCTTCAATTTTAATAACTACATTTTGTTGACACTAGAAAATCAATTGATATGCTTTGTTTGTTTCTCTTATGTCCACAAGGATATGTGGGAGCCTCCACAATTAAAGGTAAGATGTTAAAAAAAAAAAATAAAAAAATAAAACAATGTTGGTACAGTCGTGTATGTGTGCGCGCATGCACACTAGGGGTTGAACGAGTATATAATTTTTAAACTCGACATTAACATAATAAAACCTGAGTAGAACTCGAGTATTTGATGTCATAGATCTCAAGATACAAAATTAAGTAAATGAATAAAACCGCAAAAACGGGTAATTATTTACCAAAAAAAAAGACCAACAAAACATTGGGAGCGTATATGATGCTCCTACCATTCATCATACTGCAAATAAGTCGCATGAAAAACTAAACTTGTTATTATTATTATTATTATTATTATTATTATTATTATTATTATTATTATTGTTGTAGTTATCATTATTAAACTGCAAACGTGAAGAAACATGCAGCACGTCAAAAACGAAACTTAAACCGAAACTGGTTTGGACCCGGTGTTGCATCATACTCTGTGACCTGCAACAGTGCAACACCGCCCTCTACGGTCATACGGTGGTCACATATGACATCACTACGGATACCCGACGTTACATTTTTAACCTCGATAGATGTCCTAGCAATCGATGTGTAGATTACTCGAGTACTCTGTTAATGCCCTAATGCACACACGTAACGATATATCCAACCTGCTTTTTTTTTTTTTTTTTTTTTAAAACTCTGTCTAGCTTGTGTCACCGTTTTTGTTTTTTGCTCCTAGGTGTTCCAGGTTGCTGGACTAACTGGTTTAATCAAGACACCCCTAAAGGAACTGGTGACTTTGAGACTTTTGGTCAACTAATGAGAAGGTACCCAGCAGAAATCTGTATCCACCCTCTCAGTATTGAGGCTGTCACTACTACAGGGATCCCAGCTGAGAAAACTGGGCAAAAACTGTCTGTGTGAGTATTTGTAAAGTGTTGTTGGTGGCCATCAACAAACTATGTATTTTGATCTGTCTTGAGATTTAGTATTGGAGTAAAACACACTAAAAAACGCAAAGTGTTTCAAGTGCATTTTTTTTTTATTTTAATTTTATAAACACCTTTTCACTTGGCATTTCCTCTTGAACTGTAATAAAATGACTTTTTTTTTTTATCTTTTATTTTTCAGATACTCTGTGAAAGACGGCTTGATTTGCCTCAATCAGAACCAGAAATCTGGCACCTGCTTTGACTACAAAGTTCGCTTCGAGTGCATATGTCCTCTACACTGTCTCGACACCTGCTAATGACCTGATTTAAAATCTGCCTTATTTCAAACTCGTCTTAATCATTAATGGTATTACAATCAGAAAAGGTGTGGTTTTGATTTGAGTAGTATTGTTTGAAATGAACTAATAAAAACTGAAATCCAAATGTTGCCTCTGTATCATGCATACCCAGTGAAACCTGATGAGTCTAAAAACGTTTGTATTTTTAATTGAACTTATAAATCACTTGACTCTATGCACAAAGAGCTGGTTCCATTATTTGAATAGTTGAGAAGAACCAGTTTGGAGCTGTTGAACTCATCACATTTGGGGTTCAGACGGTGCAATTGGTTATTAAGAACAGATGCCTCCATGATCAAACTACACTGGAGTATCCTGGTGCACACTCTAATCCAGTTGAAGTTGCCCACCACAGCTAATGATGCAAACACAATGGTTAAACTTGGAACATCAAAAGGATCAAGTGGTCATCTTGAAAACTAGGATGAGTACTCTTTTTGCAGAGGTGTGCTAGGGAGTAAAGTTTAGTGTTTGCATTTTGAGTAATGCATGGCATATCTATCTTATCAGGTGTAGAATAATTGGCCAGTCACTAAGTTCCTGGAATTGGTGAAATATTCTTTGTTTGCAAATTGTCACCATAGAAACTTGATGCCAATAAAAGTAATGGTGCAAATTGAGGCCAAGCCAGTAGTTTTGATAACTTTTGTGGGGGTAGACATTGTGGTTCAGGCCGCATTAATGGAGATAGAAATGTAGACACTTCCGAGGTGAATAATGTGTGCCGTCCCCAATTACCTGAATTTAAATTTTGTGGAAGCTAATTCCACTAAGGATCCCCAAAGATAAGAAAAACGCTAATCCCTAAAACCGAGTTCTGCTACTAGCAGTTTAGCAGAACCATGCCCACCAATGGAGAGTAGCATTATAATCTTTAATTTCTCTTTAGTTACCTTTTTAAAGTAAATGCAGGACACGAAGTTGCATAACAAACATGCCATACATTCACAGATCAACAAGTTAGCACACCACCGTACAAATCTAGCTCCAAGAAGTTTTCTCTAGGTCATTACAAGAAAACCACTGATACTCTTCACAGATCATGTGCATTCTTAAGTCTCCTAGAAAGCTTAAGGTGAAGAGCACCTTTCAAGAAACTATGACCCCTGGCAAACATCCAAATCAACATGTGAATAGTTTCACCTGCAAAACATTTTTTGGACTGGCCTCAGACATAAAGTTGAAAAGACTGCTTCAGTCTGAAAAAGTATTTTGGATAAAAGACAAAACATTTCAACAAAGAATCCATCCAGATGACCTGACTTAACCTTGTTAAAGATGAGTCAAATTGTGTCATGCTGGTAGATTCATGTGAACACTGAATGTTGTGATGAAATCAAAAGTTGCTCTAAAATAATATACGTTTAAGTTTGTGCATTTGTAAGTAATCAATATTTTTTTAACAAATTTTGTTTGTATTTAAGTTTCACAGGCTAGAGGTAGCAATAAAGGTAGGCAACATTTTAGTACCATTTACAGTGGGAAATACTTTATCTTGACAAAAATTTGGCATTTTACAAGAATGTATAGACTTATACTTTCTTTGTAAAGAATAAACCATGGATGTCACAGGGTTATTTTTATCAGTTCAACTTCTTTCTGACAGAACAGGCTGTTTGACCAAACCTATGACTTTCTAAATATTACATACAAAAATATATGTGCACATCTGGAATTAGTCAGTGTCAAAAGATGGATTTCTGAATTTTCAGTCAAAAATAAATGCATCATAGCAGAAACTTAATTTGGTTGCTATAACATATTGCTGTCAGCTGTTTAAAAATATATATTTGGATTTATCTTTTTTTATGTATTTTATTTGCTAGTTTCCAAATTTAGTTGTTATACAGCGCTGTAGAAAAAATGAGGTAAACAAATTATATATTTAAAGTTAAAAAAACTTGTCAACTTCATCTTGTAACATTTACAGAAGTTTGAGAAAAAATATATATTTTATTTAATAAAAATACATTAAAATATCACAAATCTTTCACATTTTTATTCAATTCATTTATTTTATTTTATCATTTGTCTTGAATCGTTGGTTTGTAGATGATAAATCAAATCTCACAAGTCACCACTTGTTTGTGTGTGGACAAAACCTTTGAGGTTCAAAACTGGAACTGCTATGTTGTGTAACTGGTCCTTTTTAAACATTTCCAAAAAAGACTGCAGGAGTCAACATTTGTGGTGAAATCTTTGAGTTTCTGCCAGAGGGTGAGACTTACTGCTATAAAAAGACAGATGTAAACAGAACCATCTTACTGGACTGAGAAGTTCTCTTGCTGAAGCTCCTCTGGTCCTCTCAGGTAAAATATTTGTTTTAATTTTACTTTAAAAATGGAGAAACACAATTATTAGACCTAAGATAAAACTGAAATGTTGTTATTTAAGAAAATAATTAAATGTTTTCTTGTTTACAGCCGTTTAGAACTGAGCTGGTTTCTGCAAATATGATCCATCAGGTTAGAGTTTAGTTGTGCTGTAAAAGTTATAAATGAATATAAAAAATTCAATGTAAATAGACTTTACTAACTTATTATACTTTTGTGTTTGGTTACAGTTGAGTCTTGCCTTTACTGCTTTTTTGCTGCTTGGTATGTTGAACACAGTGACAGCAGATTTTAGTTTAGACAATATTTACACAAACTAAAACCACTAACTAGCATTATTCTGATTTTTTTCCACAGGTTACATGGAACCAAGTCATCAAGGTAAGAATTTTCACAAAGCATCACCTGGGGTTTTAGGTCCTTTTGTCAAAATTCAAGGATCAAAAATGTTTTAATTGTCACACCAGTTCACATTTGCATGTTTGTGTTGTGAATCTTGGACTCAGGTCCCAGATCAAGAAGCCTAACAATTAACAAATAAATACATACAAAAGAGTATACACACACACACACACACACA